GTGAGGGTGAGGGTGGGTGCGAGGAGTTACCAGTGCACGACGAGACGCGTGAGCACCAAGGCGGCGGTGGCGGCGCGGCGCAGGTCGGCGCTGAGCGTGGCCTCGAAGCAGTAGTGCCTGAGCGCGCCGCCGCCCGCGCCCGCGCCGCAGCCCCAGCCCGCCGCCGCGCACACCGCCGGGCACCGCACCAGGGTCTGCACATACGAAGATGATGACGCTGCGTGCTGCGAGCCGATGCTGCGTGCTGCGTGCTGCGTGCGAGGCGGCACCTGCATGACGCGCAGGCAGAGCATGGCGTCGCGGGGGTCGCGGCAGTCGGCGGCGGCGCCGGCCAGCCGCTGCAGGCAGTGCGCCGGCCACAGCGCCGCGTGCTCCGCCAGCCGCTGCAGCCCCGCCAGCGCCGCGCGCCGCACCGCACTGCGCGCCTCCTTTGCTGTGATACCTAGCAGGAGTTCCACCTGGTACAAATGCTAATTGTTGATATATGCATTACATACTTATAGATAATGATGCAGCAAACTTACACTTTGCATGGTAATAATGTGTTTCTGAATTTACATTTAACAGTGGTAGAGCCCGCTTTAACATCTTCGCACGAATCGACCCGGCTCGCCCGGTGAACTACCACGACCACACAGAAGACAGGCGTCAAGTGGAAGCAATTCCACGTTTCGTCTGATGAGTGTGCGTCCCGAAGGCCAAATTTAGTCCACTTTCCGTTCCCACCCTTTTTCTCATAAGGAAAGGATGGGAAGTGGAAGTGGACTTTCCGGATGAGAGGATGCATGGAAGGGGAAAATGTTTTCATTCTGTGCATCCTCTCCTCCGACGATTAAAGGTAGGCAACGCATATGCAATTGCGTATGTCTATGGGCAACGGTCACTTCGCTATTTCAGCGATTTCAGGTGGCCGCTCGCTCGTTTGCCATCTTATAATATAAAAAAAAATCACAAATAAACAATGAGGAGGAGGTGACCTGATCGGGCACGTGTACGACGGTGTCTGCGGCAATGGCGGTAAGCGCAGAGATGGCGGCGCGAACTGAGCTGCTGGAGGGGAAGCGCTCCAGCAGGGAGTGCAACAGCTTGAGCACACCCTGCGCCCGCACCGCTGTGATGCATTCACACACAATACTTTCACAATTGCCCTCCTGGTAACAAAACTTAATAAATAAATGTCAGTATGGTGTTACCTCCACCATGGACAGTTCTAAGGGCGCGAACCAGCTTTGCTCTCCTGTCTGCGGCCGTGCTCTCACACTCCACCATGTCTGATAACTTGTTGCACATCGCTACTGCAAATGCACTATACAGAGGATTATTTAAACAGATACAATACATTTTAAAATTACTTTCTCATTCAAATTTACCATTGTTATTGCTTCCAAGACCTCAATGGTTCAGCTTTACTTACTTAGAGTGTGCAGCAAATCTAGTTGTTGCATATATAGCAGCATCAACCTCCACATTGTCATGGCTCTCGAGTCCCCGCCTGATGGCATGGTGCACATTCTGTCTCTCCGGAATAATGCCCGCCACTGCGCCAAGCGTGCGCAGTGCCAATGCCCGCGCCACGGGGTCATTTGAATGAAGTACACTGAACACCCGTCGCAAAAATTCATCTATATTTAGAATCTTGTCTAAATGCTTCTCACTTTGTTGACATACACGCAGTACCCACAGCCTCAAGAAATTATTACCCATACGAAACACATCGGCTAACTTTAAGAACGAAGAGTTGATAAGTATGGGGAATGGATATTTCTCAAATAAACGAGGAAACCTAACAATGGCTTCACATTGTTCTCCTACCTTTCCAGATCTCAGACCTGTAAAATCATTGATTAATATGCATATATCCTACATAATATTGTTTATGCACTGTTATTAAACACTTATACCAAACCTTTATCCAATTCCGTTAATGCAGAATTAGCATCTTGTTCTGGTTCTCCAGAATTATCATTGAAAGTGTTCGACCTTACACCAATCATATTTATATTTTAATTGTTACTTTTACCAAAAGACAGAAATATGAATTCAGGCTGCAAAATCAACTTTAAATCATCAATTCAAATAATAAATAATCAGTATCCAATGGAAGTCAACAAATGGATTTGACAAGCTCTATGTCAAATCTGTCATCCTGTCAACTGCCAACTTTAATGACAGTTTATAAAATTTCATTTCACGCATTAGTATTTGGTCCTCAAATTGTGTTATTATATATTTTGATGAAAAAAATTCGTTGCAAAGTTTTACTGCAGTAATATATACATAAATTAATGTACAGTATACGCTGTTTAGTATTGTAAAATAGAGTCTTTGAAGACTGTGAGCGCCTGTGAAAAATTCTGCGGCAAATATATTATCAGTTCGGCCGTGTGAATGCAAAGCTCGAATCTCGAAGCGGGAATCGAAACCAAACTTTACCCTATTGCATTTAACAAAGGAACATCTTTTTAGCTAAAGTGTGGTCTAGGTGTTTGCTTACTGAGAGGATCTTCACTGAGTTGTTGATTAAATGTTTCAAGTAATAGTAACAATACATTTTCTTTATTATTGCTATGGTGAATTATCCGTAGCTATTAATGAAATAAAAACTCATGTAAAAATAAGTAAGATGGCATCGAGTAGATTTGATTATCTTAAAACAAAATACACACACATCTACTGTGTAAATTAATTTCAAATTAAAGCACTATATTAAGGCAAAACTCGTGTAATATGTTGCAAAAACAGCGACTAGATTTCGAATTAATTGAACGTGCAACTTATAAACAAACGCTGCGCTGCGAGTGACAGCGTCATCAAATTACATTAACAAGCTGGTGTCGTGCCGCCCTCAAATTAATGGCACACAGAAACTCTGGCGAGGCAGAGCTGTGTTTAGTCGCGACTCCCGGCGCCCGGCGCCCGGCTCCCAGCTCGCCTCTCAAAGCTTCCTAATTACTCTCATGCCACCTGTGAAACTGTACCCGTGTATGCCGTCATTAAGGTGTACAGTGTCGGCGCGGAATGGCGCCTTGTCATTTTGATAGATCGCTACAATAATGATAGAGCCGAGCTCACTTTGACGACATTGGTTACGATTTTCCCAGTAGGATTGTTTTGGGAAGTAAGTACAAGGAATCTTAAAGTTACGTAAAGGCTACTATAAAGTTACTATAAAGTAACGTCACAAACATAACCAGAGCTAGGTTACTTTACTTTGGAAATGTAGACGAGGATACATTTTTACAGATGTCCTACATATCGTTTTTTACCTTGTTTAACATACCTTACATATAGATGTACATATATTGTAAACATGTATTTTATTACTGGCTGACATGTTTTTAACTAGTTATGTTTCAGTATACGTATACTTAGAAAGAATTGTCCCATGAAAGGTTTTAACAATGTATGCAATCGTAATTCCTTCCGGGTCGCAACAAAAGCTTTGTTTTGGTTAACTTTAAAACTGTGCAAAAAGATAATAAAGTGACAAAATACGCAAGTAATCAATACCGGACGTGTCCAGCGTTAATCCTCATCTTAAACTGCCATTAACCCATATTTTACAATACATCTTTCGTGGAAATGTCCTATTGGTTGGCGCTAATATATTTACTTTTACAATATGATGCATTGACCCTTATTTTTAGTTCAGTAAAGAGTAAATTTGAACAAAAGGTCGTTCTGAACTGACAAATGTTTTGTTGCAACTGTAAGAGCTCCCGAACGCTTTCATTGAATACAAGAGAATCGTTGGTCGGATTTAAGGTTATTATCTGTATTCAATGTTTTTTTGGGCAAAGGATTAGTGGCCTAATGAGGATAAGACGCAGACGAGCGCTGTGAATCAGCCACTAGGCCACGCAGCCCGCCAGCCCGCTAGTCCGGCAGCCCAGTACTCCGGCAGCCCTGCTCGCATTGTCACCGGCCAAGGTGCTTGGCTCGCTGCTTTCATTGCATGAAGTACATTTGCATACTTATCTCTTGTCGTCAATTGTTATCTGTGTCAGATAACATTGGGGATAAGCTACTTTGTTTTTTGTTCGTATACAATTAATATTTTTGAATGGCTCATTATGTGTAGGTACTTATAGTGATACCGATTAGTTGCTGACATTTAGATTACGGTCATATGGGTCGATTCTCAGGAAAAGGGATTTGATTGTTGATATTTGATCATGTCTACCTGCAGTAGCACAGTACTCGAGTGAGTTCGGTCAGCATTTCGCTAATGTTACTAATCTAATGCAAGATGAATCAAATTATTAAAATATAGTAAACCTACTGAACTATGTACATATATTATATAACTGAGTGTCAGTTAGTGGTTGGTTGTAGACAGGATGTATGAGCGTCACAGGTCTGGGTGATCGCATCACTAGGAGTGTGTATTATCACAGCCGCGGCCGCGTGTAATGCTCCACGACGACAATACGCCGACACAATGGCCGGCCGCAGCTTCCCGCTCTTTATTTATTTACAATGTATAATACACAGATAATAAATAATGTTATATTTTTTTGAACTTCACAGTTGTCAGAATTAATACTGATCTCTTTAGTGTAGGATCACCAAGAACACATATTTTTTTAGGATAATTTAAAAATGTATTATTTGTCTAGGTTATCTTTTCGTATTTGTTATTTTGTTTCATTTGATCGATGAAAACTTGATAATGTCAGACTTAATAGGTCCAAAAACTTTAGTTCTGATATTCCAAAGTTCTTAATAAATAGAAGGACCACTTATAATTTGTTTTTTTATTTGTTTATTTGAATAAAAACCGTTTTTTTTTTAATATTGCGAAAGCTACTTATTGCTGATTGAGTTATTAAAATAATAAACTAGCATTTTCAAAATCCAAGAGTCACTTGGGAAGTGGAGACAGTTGTCGTAAAGTGTGGGTCTGGTGTTGGGAGTTGGGAGATATAGATCTGTTGACGATCAACAATGCGCTGCGCACCGAGTACAAAATGGCTGCCACGTCATTTGTCAGGCCGCCGCGTCGCGTCGCGCCAGCTATAATGCACAAAGGAGATTAGTTCACGATGTTTTGATTGCACCAGTGGGCTGCGAACAATAACTTAAAGGTGTGATGTTTTGGTATAAGGAAGGCTGCTCGCTGCGTCTCTCTGTAAAGCTTTACAACGTCCTTTAGACACTTCGCTGTAATGCTGAATGATGCTCACTCGCGTCAGTGGGTTTTGGTGATCGTTTGGCAGAGTGCGATAGAGCAGGAGTCGTCGAAGCGAGCGCTAACGGCTGAACGCGTCGCGAGGATTTGCTGCGACACCGCAGATGTTAATCGCGGACACGTTGAGTGGCCGCTGATCTCAGATTGCCGAAGCATTATAATGATAATGCTCCGGCCGAACAATGTGGGAACAATGTTTTATGTGTATTCATATAATTGTTTTAATCGTGTCTGGAGATCCCTTCGGTGCTTTTAGATACAATCAGTTTAAAATGTGTTGTAAATGTTACAATGCATTTGCTTACTGCGAGAAACGTACAATTAGATCTATGAAGATTTATCATTGTTAAGTTGATTTCAAAATATGTAATACGTTAGTTTTATTGATCAGCAGAGGGATGTTGCTGAGAGATGCGGGCACGATGCGCTGGACATACTGCGCTACACTATAACTGTCACTACATAATGCAGCTTCTGCCACTAATCATTGTAATTATAATTAGTGAATTACTATTATATATATATACATGAAAGCGAAGTGTAAATTAAATTAACCTTAATTTTAAAACCTAATTCGTATCAAGTCTTCATGATATATTTTTATCATCCCTTCTTTTTACTCCATGGTGTTTGCTCCACGAGTACGAGTACGTTTTTACTTTAGCACATTGAGTGACAGCGACGGTCTACATGAGTGAAATTATGTTGTAAGCCGAAGTAGTATCTGTATGTGTCTTTTTGAGAAAATCTCTTGGACGTACCTGGTTTTGTCTATCTCTTAGAGGTTCGTTGAGTTTAATGCACATATGTAATCCTCCCATAACCCCGCGACGATTAAGTTAAGCTCGGGGTTATCTTGTTGTAACTTTTATATAAGTCGATATGTATTTATTTGTGTGAGATGTGAGTGAGATGTGAGTGTAGGGCAGTAACATCGCTCGAATACAAACGTAGTAGAACACATCACTGCGCCCCTGTGCATTGTATTATACATAAGGATTGCGAACGACCATTTTGATAATTCAATTTATTAGCAGTTGCATATGTCCCCTGCGGCCCCGGGGGAAGAGAGCCCCGCGGTGCTGCCCGGTGTGATGTCGTTATTGTAACGTGACTTCTCCCCGGACAGCGCCATACCTACCCACCCATAGGGGATCCGCTGTCCGTGTTAAAAAGGGCTTACCCTACAATGTAGCAGATAAATATGTCATTTTTTTACAAATTAATGTTGACTCTTTGTTACAGTTTATTTATGATAATATTTTACTTCACAAATTTAAAAGTAAAATTAAATCGTTTTAGCTTTGATCATTTTTAAAACCTTTTACATCTATAATTTACCAAATTTAATTTATATTCTATTACATAAACCGTTGAAAAAAATCGTAAATTTTAGTGGTGTACCGGAAATGGCGCGCCCCACGCTAGGTCACGCTCTGTGTGGTGCGGCACGGTGCGGCGCGACAGCAACGTCTCTGCGACGACGACAGCGGGCCATTGTGCCGGCTCCCATTGTGCGAGTCGTAATTATGTAGCCATGTAATGTATTCATGTCGACGGCGAAGGCGAGGGCGAAGGCGGGGAGCAGCCGGGGAGCAGGCGGGGCAGGGGACGACACAATGGCCGGGGTGTGAATTCGACAAGATATTTTGGAAGCTATTGTTGGTCGCGTTACAGTAATTGAGATTGTCGCTTATGTCATTTGCTGATTTTATATTTGTATTTATTTTAGATTGAATGCTGAGTTTATTTTTATTTAGGTCGCGTTTGTTTGTTAGAAGTTTGTTATTTTAAATAGATAATGAATTTAAGTTGCACAATTGAGGCAATTCAAATGTGATGAATGTATGATACGTGATACGAACACACAATTTTAATTTGTATTTATTTATATTTAATAAAATAAAATACTAATAAATAGAATA